AAGAAGAAGAAGAATGAAAAAGAAGAAAAGAAGAAGAAGAAAAAGAAGAAGAAGAAGAAGAAAAGAAAAGAATGAGAAGAAGAAGAAGAAAAGAAGAATGAAGAAGAAGAATGAAAAGAAGAAGAAAAAAGAAGAAGAAGAAGAAAAGAAAAAGAAGAAGAAAAGAAGAAGAAGAAGAATGAAAAGAAGAAGAAGAAGAAGAAAAGAAGAAATGAAAAGAAGAAAGAAGAATGAAAAGATTCTTCTTCTTTTTTTCATTCTTCTTTTCATTTCTTTTTCTTCTTTTTCTTCTTCTTCTTTTTTTTTTTCATTCTTCTTTTCTTCTTCTCATTCTTCTTTTCATTCTTTTCATTCTTCTCATTCTTCTTCTCATTCTTCTTTTCATTCTTCTTTTCATTCTTCTTCTTCATTCTTCTTTCTTTTCATTCTTCTTCATTCTTTCATTCTTCTTTTCATTCTTCTTTTCATTCTTCATTTCTTCTTCTTTTTCATTCTTCTTTTCTTTTCATTTTCTTTTCTTCTTCTTCTCTTTGAAGAATTCAAAGAAGAAGAAGAATGAGAAGAAGAAAAGAAAGAATGAAAAGAAGAAGAAGAAGAAAAAAGAAGAATGAGAAGAAGAATGAAAAGAAGAAAGAAGAATGAAAAGAAAAGAAGAAGAAGAAAAGAAGAAAAGAAGAAGAAGAATGAAGAAGAAGAAGAAGAATGAAAAAGAAGAAGAAAAGAAGAAGAAGAATGAAAGAAGAAGAATGAAAAGAAGAAGAAAAGAAGAAAGAAGAAGAAGAAAAGAAGAAGAAGAAGAAGAAGAAGAAAAAGAAGAAGAAAAGAAGAAGAAGAAGAAGAATGAAAAGAAGAAGAAGAAGATGAAAAGAAGAAGAAGAATGAAAGAAGAAGAATGAAGAAGAAGAATGAAGAAGAATGAAAGAAGAAGAAGAATGAAAAGAAGAAGAAAGAAAAGAATGAGAAGAAAAGAAGAAGATGAATGAGAAGAAGAAGAAGAAGAATGAAAAGAAGAATCTTGAGAAGAATGAAAAGAAAGAATGAAAAGAAGAATTTCTTCTTGAAATTCATTCTTCTTTTCTTCTTCTTCTTCTTTCATTTTTCTTTTCATTCTTCTTTTCATTCTTCTTCTTCTTCTTTTCATTCTTCTTCTTCTTCTTTTCTTTTTCATTCTTCTTTTCAATTCTTTCATTTCTTTTCATTCTTCTTCTTCATTCTTCTTTTCATTCTTCTTTTCATTCTTCTTTTTCTTTCTTCTTTTCATTCTTCTTTTCATTCTTCTTCTTCTTTTCTTCTTTTTCATTCTTCTTTTCTTCTTCTTCTTTTTCATTCTTCTTTTCATTCTTCTTCTTCATTCTTCTTTTCATGAAGAAGAAAAAAGAAGAAGAAAGAATGAGAAGAAGAAAGAAGAATGAAAAGAAGAAGAATGAAAAGAAAAGAAGAATGAAAAGAAGAATGAAGAAGAAAAAAGAGAAGAAAGAAGAATGAAAAGAAGAATGAAGAAGAAAAGAAGAAGAAGAAGAAGAAATGAAGAAGAAGAAGAAAAGAAGAAGAAAGAAGAAGAAAAGAAGAATGAAAAGAAGAAGAATGAAAAGAAGAAGAAGAAGAATGAAAAAGAAGAATGAAAAATTTCTTCTTCTTCTTGAAAAAGAATGAAAAGAAGAATCCTTTTCTGAAAAGAAGAATGATTCTTTTTGAGAAGAAGAATTCTTCTTCTTCTTTCTTTTCATTCTTCTTTTCTTCTTTTTCTTTTCTTCTTCTTCTTCATTCTTTTCTTTTCATTCTTTCATTCTTCTTTTCATTTTCTTCTTCTCATTCTTCTTCTCATTCTTCTTTTCTTCTTTTCATTTCTTTTCTTCTTCTTCTTCTTTTCATTCTTCTTCTTCATTCTTTTCATTCTTCTTTTTCTTTTTCTATCTTCTTCTTTTTCATTCTTCTTTCATTCTTCATTCTTCTTCTTTTCATTCTTTTTTCTTCTTTTCATTCTTCTTCTTTTCATTCTTCTTTTTTCTTCTTTTCATTCTTCTTTTCATTCTTCTTTTTTCATTCTTTTCTTTTCATTCTTCATTCTTCTTCTCATTCTTCTTTTCATTTTCTTTTCTTTTCATTCTTCTTTTCATTCTTCTTCTCATTCTTCTTTTCATTCTTCTTCTCATTCTTCTTTGATACAATGTTTCAACCGCTGTACATGTGAAGGAACTGTCAGAGAACTGTCAGAAATAGCGGAGCTCTCTGCAGGGACACTTTTGCCGGCTGATCGGGAAAAATCCGATTCGCGCACCCGAATTATGCTAATATTCGGATTCGACGCGAATCAAATTTTTCCTGAAATTCGAAACGAATTCCACTTCGCCTGGTTCGATTCGCTCATCTCTAATTATAATACCACAGTTGACTGTGGAATATTTAGTAGCAAGGAAATTTCATGCTTGAATTTCACGCTTGAATTCACTGAGCTCCTGAGAGCGACTTTCACAATGTTTGTAGAAGCAGTCTGCATGCCTAGGCGCTTGATTTTATACATCTGTGACCATGGAGGTGATTGGAACACCTGAATCCAATGATTTGGAGGGGTGTCCCAGTAGTTTTGGCAATATAGTGTAGGTTAACATGGTGGGGAGTTTTAGACAGACCTTAATTGATCCTATGGTAAATTATACTAATATAAGGAAATTAACTTACATTTCACTTACCTAATGATCTATAGCCTAAATCATGATGTCCTTTATACATAGATTTTGTTATATTCTGAGATTATGACCCATGATTGACCATTATTTTAAACAACACTTTATCAGCCATGTCAAAAAGGATAACTCATCTGCTCTGTTCCTTATTCAAAGGCAAAACTTTTTTTAGTTTTGGATAGAGTTAGAAAGGGATTAGAACACATTTTTACTACTGTCTGTGCCCCTGTTAAGGAGATTCATAGTAGTTCAATATTCACTATATACTTAAGTCCCTATCTGTCAGGTTGAATGCAGTGCCTGCTCAAGAAAACATAAAATGTCTCTCTTACAAGTCTGCCAGCACACAGTGCCTCTTTTTGTCTCCCTACATAAATTGCTTCCCCAAGTTTTGAGAGACCCAGTTGCTTTTACCATAGCTCCCAACTGTTCCTGATTTTGAGAGACTGTCCCTGATTTGAAACAAAGTCCCTCTGTCCCTCTTTCGTCCTCATTTGTCCCTCATTTTGGTCTGATCTATGTAGTTGTATATAAAATGCACTTTTTATCTTTCAAAAAGTGTTTGCCAAGGCTAAACACTTTCATCCAATTTCTAAATTGCTGCATTTATACATTTCAAAAGCCAATATAAAGGAATAGTAGTGGTAAAAAAAGGTACTTGTGGGTTTACCTAATCATTTTTCTGTATAATTATCCTTTAAGAGGCTGTATCGGGGGGGGGGGGGTGTCCTATGCCTACATACTTTTGCTGATAGGTGTCGCTCGTTCCATCTCAAAAAGTTGGGAGGTATTCTTCTACTACTACAGTAACAACAGCCTTTTAGATCAGCTTATCAGCATCCTTTTATAGCCAAACTGGTTTTTCCAGGGCTTCCCTTAATTTTTTTGAATGATTTGAAGGCTCACTGGATACACAGCAAAGCAAAACGTGTTCCTGGCAATTGTTTTTTTAACTGTTGGCAACTATATGAGTAGGGGTGCTATATGTTAAAAATGTTGGTGGGGGGTGTATGTAGACTATGCTGGAACAGTTACACCAACCAGCTAGGCCTACTATCTTTAAATTATCTCTAATTAAAACTGTCCTACTGTTGACCAGTTTTACACTGCAGTATCCTATGCAGTCTCCTGATTCTTGTAGCTAAATACTAGCCTGTGCTATGTCTCTAGTAAAGAAGGGCCTAGCCTTGCTCATTAACCTCCCTAACGGTATTCCCGAGTGTAGCTCGGGGTAAAATGTCAGTACCAAAAGCGGTAACCCCGAGCTACACTCGGGCTTACCTGCATAGGGAGTCACTGCAGCACTTACCTTGTCCTTGGCTCCCGCGATGTGTCCCCTGCAGCGTCCCCGGCCATCTCCTCCGTCTGATGCCGGACATCCGGCTCCTGTGTTCCGGTCCCCGTGACGTCGGGACGTACGAGCTCCGGCGGCGGCGGTGGGAAATTTGAAAATTTAGCCCTAGTATTTAAAATTGTCCTTCTGCTGGCCAGTTGTACACTGTGTGTGTCATCTGCACTCTCTCACTTCTTGCCTGGGCTCTTTCTCTCTAGTGCGTATTGGCCAATTCTCTCTTGTTATAATCAGCCTCCCACTGGCAAATTTTACACTGCTATATTGACCCCCTAATTCTTAATGCAAGCTTGATAGAAATTGGTCAGCGGTAGGACAGTTTTGCATTAGTGAGAACAGAGACAGCCTCATCGTACTGGCCAATTTCCATTTGCTCATCAAAAGCAGGCCTTTCTAATCACAGCAGTCTCTATAGAAGGGACATTGTACATTACTAAGGGGCCATGAAAGAGTGCCCATTTATAGAAAAAAACAACAACCAGGAAAAAAGGTGTGGGTTCCCCTTAATATTCCAACTAGACCCAGGCATGCAGTCCAGGTGGACAGGAAAGGGACAGCAGCAAGAATATCTCCCTAGCCAACCCACCTGTATCAAACAGGTTGGCCACATGCCTTTCAACCTGGGGGGGACATGAAAAGTACCCTTGTCTCGATGTTGAGGGGCAAGCAGGAACGTTTTATGAAATCAGTGGGCCTGTGTGCCAGTTGGGCCTCATTGCTTGATTAAAAACTAAAGTGCAGTGTGCTTAGTGCACCACAGTGAAAAGTGAACATGCTTTCACTGTGCCAGGGGTGTTGCTAGGATATTAAAATACCTGGGGCACCTTTGGGCACACCAGTTCTGTCCCCAAGTATAATCACCCCCAGGTCAGTCTGTCCCCCAGTATAATCCTTCCCCTCCTTTAGGTCAATCTGCCTCTCAGTATAATAACCCCCAGGTCAGACCAGGGGCGGACTGACAACTCATGGGGTCCCCGGGCAATAGGGGATCATGGGGCCCCTGTGTCCTTGCCCAAACTAAAAAAAAGCCCATGAAAAAGGTACAAGGGGTATTTCATGGGGCCCCCTAATGACCCCGGGCCCTCGGGCAGTGCCCGAGTTTCCAAATGGTCAGTCCGCCCTGGGTCAGACTGTCCTCCCACTACAATTCCCCCCCGGTCAGTCTGTCTCCCAGTATAATCCTTCCTCTTCCACCCCAAGATCAATCTGTCTCACAGTATAATCTCCCCAGGTCAGTCTGTCCCTTAGTATAACCCCCCCCCCCCGTCAGTCTGTCTCTCAGGCTAATTGTTCCCCCTACCCCCCATGTCAATCTGTCCCCCAGTATAACCTCCCCCAAGTCCCCTGTGGCTCCCCTTTAGCCCCTCACCTGAAGCCAGCAGGAGGGGAGAGGAAGAAAAGCCAGCAGCTGCAGGGGAGCCAGAAGGAATTAGGTTCTGTGGGGGTGGGGCACATAGGAGTGGAGAGGGTGCATTTTAGAAGACAGGTGGAGCAACAGCAGCTCCTCCATGTGGCCATTGTATTAGAGCACAGTGGGTCCCTCCCCCCTCAGGTTCCCAGATATCTGCCCCACTCCTTGGTAATATAGTACACGTTTGCCATTCCCCAAAAAATGGGTAAAAATAAACAAATGCACACCATGAGAAATCATTTAATTACAGTAAAACACAAACAAATATTATTAATGTCCCTAGAAATAGGTCAACATCAATCACAGCATCCATTGATGTAATCCATATCAATCCATGTCAATCATGGCGTCCAGTGATGTAATCCATCATCACGCCTCCTGACAATGTTTACATGCTATGCTTCTGTCACTAAATGACAGATTCACGGCTGTGGCAATGTAAATTGACTGAATCCAGGGTAACATCATCAACCAAACTGCAGTGACTATGGGAGCTGATTGCTACCTGCATATCCAAGCTCGATAGTTTTCATAGCTTTGGAAGTGTTCTGCAAGAAATGAGACTGACATGAAGCCATTTGAAGGCAGCATGTTTTTCAGTGTTTCCTAACTTATATTTGCAGGTTTATCTTAAAGTGGAACTCTGCAAATATAAAAAAAAAACTGTCCAGTGATGAATTAATTTAAAATCATTAAATTAATTTTGCAGTAATTGTATAACTAACTGTAATCTACCCTTGTCTTATCTTTCCACAATCTCCTAAACAGCTGATATCAATAAGAGATGATACCTGCTGCACTGAGTCAATCACTACATTGCATAGTGCTGCAATCTAACATGTTTTCAGGCACTGGGAGCTGGAAGAGTAGGTAATAGGGCATCTTACAGAATGAGGGGAGTGTATTATGATGCTTATTTGGTAACACCCGTAAAGCTACAAAAAGAAATAAAGATGTATCCCTCTAGTATGGAAGATGTATATGAATCACGAAAGGGATCAAATAGAAGTACAAATGTTGGCTGATAAAACAGTTTATGCATATGTACTTAAAAAAAATATTTTTTTTTTCCATTCATATTTAGATATCAAGGCTGCTGATCTGCACCAGCCTGATTTAGCCCATTCTTGTCCATAAGCACTAGTTCTGCCAACAACTGCACATCACTGCTATGGACTGGTCTCCTGATAATGATAACAGTGGATCACGTTTCAACTGGGTTGTGTGTGTGACAGGGTGACAACAGATCAACACAATTGGAAGACAGTTGTCAGCCCATAACAGGAGGTCTGATCAAGGAGCTTCATTAGGAATCCTTTGAATGAAAGCTGCAGATCTGAAAAGATTACAAACAACTTAAAAACAATACTAAAGCAAGCCATAGATGATTTGATTTTCTTTCCTTCCACCCGTGGAGGAAGGAAAGAAAATAGCTTGATTCCCCCATCATTAGGGAGCCTTCCCGGATGGCAGAACACAATGATTACTGCTAGTGGCTGTAGCCGCCAGCAGTAATTGCATGTAAAAAATCCAACAGGCTGGTTGTACCCAAGTTGATCAATGGATTGACTTGGGTACAACCAGCCTACCTATAGATGGATCAAATCTCAGCCAGTCCCTGCGGAACCAGCCAAGATTCAATTCATCCTTGGCCTGCTTAACATGTTAAAGGTAGTTTAGATTGTATAGATATTTTAGTGGCTGGGTTTGAATCTATTTTAACTGTGTATTTATCTGTTTAGGTGGAGTTTCACTTTGATGACTACAACTAAGACAATTCAAAGAGCTTGATTTAATTATATATGGGCCATTTTGACAATGAACTCAGAATGTGTGATGTCATTCTTGGTATTACACAGGTATGACATCATTGAGCATTCACAAGAGATGATAAAAAAGTAAAAGAAAAGTCTCTACTAAACAGTAGGCCAATTCCCCAGCAGATCATCAGTGTTTTCATGAGCAGATCTAGTTTCATATCATCTTTGCATTTTCTCCTATATTTTAATTCCTTCATTCCTCCACTCACCTTATTTGCAGCTCTGAAAAACATCTTGTCTGCCTGAAGTCTTTTATCCTCGCATGAACGGCTTGTCAGAGCAACCCTGCATTTACATTTAGCGGCTTTTGCCTTAGAAGATTTGTAGCACCTGCCTGAATTCAGTCTCTGTTAAACGCATCAGAGGGGTGCAGAGATATGAGCTTTGAAATGCTTCAGAAGGAAGAAAAAAATGCTGCCTGTTGCAGAAGGAACAGTATTAAATAAGAGAATGAATGACTCCAGTAAAATTTCTGCTGGCCAAGTGCAAGCCTGACTGACAGAATGAGGCAAAAAGGGATTATCTTGGATCAAAGGCAGCCCTCAATTATGAACTGGGTTTCCTCCTTGAAGCTATATACCTATTGGTTCTAAAGACACATGTAAAGAGGCTGAAATAAAGGGTTCATAGGCAGTAAATGAAATCCCAGATTTTGCACGACTCAAACAAAAACACATGTCACTGGAAAAGCTCCATGATATTTTCCAACCAGCCATGATGATCAGAAACAGGTCCAGGTTTTGCACTTTTATTCCTCCCTAAATTATACTGTCTCTGACGATGATGCTGTTTGTATTGTTTATATTTTTTTCTTCAGGCAACCTGAAAAAAGAGGTTACAATTGTTGACTTCTTTATCTGAAAATGCAAATTTTTTGGCTGTTATTGATGCAATGGCTTCAGTATATTCTTTCCACTAACTGGGGAAAGTATGTAACTTCAAAGTAATGAATTTTTCCTTTCCTGATCTATATGTTTTTGTAGCTCAATCAGTCATAGTTACATATTTTGAAAAAAGACACATGTAGGCATAGGCAACTGTTGCACCAGAGGCATCCCCTAACTCACTCCACTTGGGCCCACCTAATATAGAGAGCTAGTGCAGGTTCACTCGCTGACTGTGAGTGACGACCAGAGCCCTCGCAGATTTACATGTCTGACTGCCATTCGCATCCATGGTGTGCTGTGACATGGGACCAAACTGCAAACCCACTCACCATGCTTCTGGTCTCTAGAGACAACTGCAGATATCTGTGCCAGTGATACTAAATGCTCCAGGCCAAGGGGCGGACTGACAACTCATTGGGCCCCCAGGCAATAGGGGATCATGGGGCCCCTGTGTCCTTGCCCAAACTCAAAAATGCCTATGAAAAAGGTACCAGGGGCATCTCATGGGGCCCCCTACTGACCCCCGGGCCCTCGGGAAGTGCCCGAGTTTCCAAATGGTCAGTCTGCCCCTGTCCAGGCCTAAAGAGTTGTGTGGTTCTAGAATAGTGCCTCTCCTTGCCTATCCACCACTGGCCTCTAACTACAGTAGATCAGATTTGCTTTACTGCTAGCTACATCGGGATTTTCATCACCAAGGGGGAGTGACTAAGTGATACTCAGCCCTAACTCAGCCCAGTAGGTTGCTTTCCCCAACACTCAGCCACAAGGTTACTGGAATCCAGAAGGCTCTGTCCAACGAGGATTTTATTGCAACAAGTCACAGTTCCATCAATGTAATAAATGTGTCTTCAATATCAAGTAATACAGTCTCCACACATGATCTCACTACTTACTACTCACTACTGCTATGCATATCATCTTCCACTCAGATAAATGCAGAACGTATCTGTGAGAATGGTGGTGTACCTCTGTGCCCAGCTCCAGGAAACCCCACCAAAGGAAAGCAAGAAGGATAAATCTCAGTCTCTCTAGCTGATATTCTTTCCCATGGCCCTCCCTCTTCCCATAGAGTGCAATTACCCTCCCCAGGTATTTAAGTGTATCCTGCCAGGAATACAATGAATTCACCGTCCTTCCTGGAAGGACTTAAAAGAGAAATAGTTTTAAGTGGGCCACATAGTGGACCCAATGTCAACCTGCCCAAAACACATGGCCATCAAGGTCAAGTAAAAGCCAAAAATAAATTAATTAAAAATCTGCATCCTCAGAATCCTAAACCTGCAGTTGATGTAGAAGAAGGCATAAAGCCAGGGGTGGGCAAACCTTTTGACTTGAGGGCCGCAATGGGTTCATATATTGGACCCGGGGGCCGGACCAAGAGTAGATGAATGATGTGTATGTGTCATCCATAGTAAGTATAGTAATATTCCCCCATAGTAAGCATAGTAATTAATCCCCCATATAGTAATTCATCCCCCATATAGTAATTCATCCCCCATATAGTAATCCCCCCATAGTAATCCCCCATATAGTAATTAATCCCCCATAGTAATTCATCCCCCATATAGTAATTCATCCCCCATAGTAATTCATCCCCCATATAGTAATTCATCCCCATAGTAATTCATCCCCCATATAGTAATTCATCCCCCCTATAGTAATTCATCCCCCATAGTAATTCATCCCCCATATAGTAATTCATCCCCAATATAGTTATTCATCCCCCATAGTAATTCATCCCCCATATAGTAATTCATCCCCCATATAGTAATTCATCCCCCCATATAGTAATTCATCCCCCATATAGTAATTCATCCCCCATATAGTAATTCATCCCCCATAGTAATTCATCCCCCAAATAGTAATTCATCCCCCATATAGTAACTCATCCCCCATATAGTAATTCATCCCCCATAGTAATTCATCCCTCATATAGTAATTCATCCCCCATAGTAATTCATCCCCGATAGTAATTCATCCCCCATATAGTAATTCATCCCTCATATAGTAATTCATCCCCCATAGTAATTCATTCCCCATATAGTAATTCATCCCCCATATAGTAATTCATCCCCCATATAGTAATTCATCCCCCATAGTAATTCATCCCCCATAGTAATTCATCCCTCATATAGTAATTCATCCCCCATAGTAATTCATTCCCCATATAGTAATTCATCCCCCATATAGTAATTCATCCCCCCTATAGTAATTCATCCCCCATATAGTAATTCATCCCCCATAGTAATTCATCCCCCATAGTAATTCATCACCCATATAGTAATTCATCCCCCATAGTAATTCATCCCCCATATAGTAATTCATCCCCCTATAGTAATTCATCCCCCATAGTAATTCATCCCCCATATAGTAATTCATCCCCCATAGTAATTCATCCCCCATATAGTAATTCACCCCCCCATAGTAATTCATCCCCCATATAGTAATTCACCCCCCATAGTAATTCATCCCCCATATAGTAATTCATCCCCCATAGTAATTAATCCCCCATAGTAATTCATCCTCCATAGTAATTCACCCCCATAGTAATTCATCCCCCATATAGTGATTCATCCCCCCCTATAGTAATTCATCCCCCATATTAAGTCCCCCCTGTGTCAATTCACTTACCTTTGCTCCGCGTGTTCCTTTCGCCGTCTTCCCGCGCCGTTCCGGTGTAGCATGAAAATCTGTCTCCTATGAGGATCTGTCCCCCTTGACGTATCTGCGCATGTGCCAGTTTCAGGCATTAGCAGCCGATCGGCGATCTCCGGCACATGCGCAGATACGTAGAGGGGGACAGATCCTCATAGGAGACAGATTTTCATGCTACACCGGTCTTCAGGGCGGACTGTGAGAGGAGCCTAGCGGGAGCCTAGCTCCGCGGGCCGGATTAAAAGGTCCGCCGGGCCGTATACGGCCCACGGGCCGTAGTTTGCCCATTGCTGCATAAAGCCCTTATAAAGTTTAGTCCAATTTGATTCAATAGAGAAAACCCCTAAAGCAATTAGATACTCCCTGGATTACCAATCTAGTGTTATTAATAGCCATATTTTGTGCATTTAAAAAAAAATTCTGGTCCTTTAAATCAGTCTATAGAGTTGCCTAGAGCTAGCTCATGTGACAGCATGTTCGAAATTTTCTTAGCTGTTACTGTAAATAAACGATTCCATAAAAGTGCCACTTGACATTTGCAATGACCTTAAAGTGAACATCTTTGCACCAAGTTTACCAATGTAGCACCGCCTGGACTCTATAAATTCTGCCCAGCAGAGCATCTTCACCTTGGCAGCACAAACTGTGTTTTTTCCCCCTTCTTCTCCATTGGTGAATGACAGCCCAGGGAAAGAAGAGGGCACTGGAGGACTGTGTCTGGCTGCTGCCGTGCAGCCTGGACTGGGCCAGATCCTAGCAATGGGGCAAAAAGGAAACTGATAGGCCACAAAACCAAGAGACTTGTGATTTGGCCTCTGGCTGCACTAAGCCTGCACAGGACAGAGTTCCCAGATCCACATGGAGAAGCAGGTGCTTTGGAAAGTGCAGGGAAACATCCCTTTTGAGTTTTCTCAGGTGAGGCAGAGAAACCAATAAATCCAGCTGCTCCTTTAGAGGTGGTGCTACATTAGATCCATCATGTGTCTTCTTAACTGAACTCCACCATACACCTTATTAAATTAGTTGGCCTTCTCAACACTAAATCTTGGGGTACACCACTAACAATCTTAAACCATTCAGAGTTTGATTCCTTAATCACTAGTCTCTTAATTCAGTCTTTAAGCCAGTTTTCTATCCATTCACAGACTGACTTTTAGTAATCCTATAGACCTTAACTTACTGACGTAAAAGCATTTGACTTATCTGATGCTTGAATGTTTGCAGTTGCTGGTGAGTTGAGAAGCAGTGGCTTTTTATCACACAGACTGCCATAAAGGTAAGAAAATAAGTGCTACCTTTATACGTGGGCCTTCTTGTAAAAGTGACTCTGTAATGACATGGCCACTTTAAGCAATTAAGCAATTAACAACACTTTGGTTAAATAGCTTGCTCCTAAGGGATTAAATTAGTCAGGTGTGCCAATGAATGCATACACCACATGGTTAACTGCCTGGAATTTTGGATAGGCATAGATGAATCTAAGTGAATTAGGCACATTGGTTATGAGTTTTATCTTCCAAAGTTGTAGTTGATTTTCCCATGGCTGGCAATATAAATTGTTGTGTAGGTGCAATCACTTTAAAACACTCTTCTGTTCTGATCAATTTTACATATCATTATGCAACTAATTTAAATTTAATTAAAATCTGATTACATTAAATTTGATCAAGATCTATTTTCAAAGCATATCTCTTGTTAATGGACCTAAAAGTAGAGATACATATTATCTAGAAATAAAGTAAGGCTGAAGGTTTCCAGGACTTACTATTTTTAAAAAAATATGTGTACCGTATATACTTGTAGTGTCCAATGCCTGCATGCTGTCAAATCATACTTTATAGGAGCAGAACTTATTTGTATTAGTATATTTGTATTATGACTATGCACTGTGGTGGTGTGGCCATTTTTGAAAGCTGTAGGCTTTCTAAACCTGCAAACAACACTATTTTGCACACATCCAATTGTTGAGTTATATTTGCTAGCTGTAGAAAATTTATATAATACATATTTATACTGTACACTAGGTTATAGGCAGTTATGACTGCCCTTGCCTGGTAGATTATGTGGTATTTCAGGTCTGTAGAAAACATGGAGCCATTTTCTATTTTTGTCCATATTCTATGTGCAAATTCTGGTACGTTCTGGTGGCATTTCTGGATGGTTTAATTCTAGACCAAAGGTGTCCAACTTAAAAGGACTCAGAGGCCACATCTGCATCTATAGACAAAATCAAAAAGAATATATACAGATATCCCCCCTGGGATTTTGTATGGCAAGAATGTGTGTGCAACAATATAAAACAATAAGTCTTTATTACAAAAACTGATAAAAGAATCAACAGACTCAATAAAATCAAACTGCTATACAGTTATTCATAACAAAAAAACTTAACCCATTTGGGTTACGTGTTCAAATCTTTCCCTCTTTTGAGAACATTAATCTAGAGTTTAAGTTAGTTTGGGAGAAAAATCTTAAACATTGCTCAGAGAATATAATGACACTTTTAATCAAGTAATACAAGACAGGGCTAGTTGATCTGGACAAACAGATTGATGAACTACAAACACAATTGGTGACACTTAAGACACCTCCTATCAAGAACTGGACAATAAATTAAAGGCTCAGAGGAGCACATGCGTGGAGGTCTCCAAGATGGCCGTTTAAGCCGAGAGCTTCGCCCCAGGCCGGCTGCTGTTACCCTGCCACGGTGCCCACAGCCCTCGAACTGAGCTCCTGGGTGGATCTGGTGCCTGGGAGAGAGCACCTAATGGATCTGGGGAGAAGGAGCGGAGGACATGATCTCGCCACCATTCTACAGGATCCCTCTGGGCCAGGAATTCCAAGATGGCGCCCGGACCCTCTACACAGCCATGCAGTCTGTCTCCTCATGAGGTGCTGCAGGGGGGGACCTAATGGAGATTCCGGACACCCAGAGTACCCACGTGAGTACCCCTGCCTCC